GGATCCAGCCGGGATCCTCGGATCCAGCCACGCCCAGGAATCCCTGGAGCTCCCTGGCAAAGCAAACCCCCAGGGATGTCCCTTCCTGCACATCCTGATGTTCCACCAGGAGCTCTCCTTGCGCTCCCAGTGGCCCCACGGTGGGGATTTACTGACTTCATTCCCTGCCTCGCCCACAGCTGATGAAATGCAGCCCTGGCACTGCATTTTCCAAAATGCATTCGGAATTATCTGAGCAAGCTGCTGCCTGCAGAAAGACGCTCACAGTGCCTGCATGCTCCTTTCCATGATTCTTTGTTAATGTTGATTTTTCCCCCCTCAGACAACCAATTTCTTTTCCAGTGCTCTCTTTAAGAAGGCATTCATTAACAGCTGGGCTGCGCTTGTGCCTACAAATGCCTTTATTAGGGTGAAAAATGGAGCAGGATCCCTTTGCTCTGCCTTCCCACTATCACAAAGAAATACTCACCTGCTTCTTTGGAGAAATATAAAGTGCTGCAACACTGTGGACTTGACTAACAATACAGAAACATCGGGATTTCAGTGCAGAATAAAATAAAAACGATGAAATAAAGCCACCGGTTCCTCTGTGCCCATCCCAGAGGGGCTGGGAGAGCGCTCTGGGTTCTGCCAGAGATTGAACCTCAGGGTCTCATCCCTGACCCTCCTGGGGTGTTTCCTGAGCCATAAATCCCAGCCCGGGCTGTTCCTGCCGTGCCTGGCAGCCCCTTCAGCTCTGCCCTCCGGAATTGCTGCTTGTGCCATCAAACCACTCGGCTTTGAGCAGAAACAGCCCAGGAAGGGCAGAGAGGAGCTGGTTTCCCACACAAAGCTCCAGCCCCCCCAGAACCCCCCGGACGGAGCTGAGGAGCCTCTCCGGAGCGCTCTGGGGTTAAGGGGGTCCCGGGGCACGGGGATGAAGAGCTGCTCCCACAGCGAGGGGCTGGGGACCCCCAGCACACGGCTCCTCCTGCTCCTGCTCACGCTGAGCCGGGCTCAAATTGCCATTTTGTGGGGCTGGGAAATCACAGCACGGAGAAAAGTCAATAAAAATTCAATTCAGATAAAGGTCCTTTCAGCTCGGCAATGCAGGGGAATTATTGGCTCAGTGTTATGACAGTTAATGCAGTGAAATAAAAAATTGAATTTACACGTATTTAGACATTCAGACTGAATCAGCCAACAAAAAAATCCGCCATTAATGAAACAAAGGTTTTCTTACACTGTCCTTTTACTTCTGACAGATGTTTGTTTTAGCCTGTTAAATGTTTACCCTGGTAAAAGACACCTTTTTATATTGTCAGGAGCTGCTGGAACACTTCTGGAAAGTCTCCCTTCAGGTTCTCCTTTGCTCCTGCCCCCCTCTCCCAGGGAATGCTTCTCCCAGCTTTTTGCTGGTTTCCCTTTCCCAGGGAAAGGAAGATCTGAGCTGGGGGCTCAAAGGAAAAGGGCTCACGGCAGTGAGGGAAACAATCCCTGAATTCTCCACTGGCAGAGGCAGTGCCAGGCTCTGGTTCTGCCAGGAAAACATCCCAGGTCTGATTCCAGGAATGGGATGAGGCTTGAGCAGCTCCTGGGGACAGATGAGTTTGGG